TCGGTCGTGGCTGTACTATAGCTGCCCCTATCCCAGGCGGGGAGTTTAAATTATAGCGCTAGACACGAAATCATATATAAATGATGTGCGCGGTTTCGGTTTTGTCACTGATATCATTTATATATGATATGCGCGGTTTGAGGGTTAATATGTTGCGTTAGAAAGCAATCATCAATTAATTCTAGAAAATCTTATGCTTCATTATTCCCTGTTTTGTTCACCCAGTTTATTCCACTAAAATTAAAGTCACCCATGACATAAACACTGTTAGATCTAGATGCTCTAGATATTTCATCCCATAGATGCTTTGCTTCCATTCTGTCTAAATTTGGCGACCTATATATAACTCCTATTATAATATTATTTGCTTTTTCGTTTAATTCTATCCAAATAGTTTCTGTGTGTGGCTCAGTTTTGATTCCCTCTTTGAGACTACATTTCAAATTGTTCCTAACATATATGGCTACTCCCCCTCCTCGTCTAATATATCTGTGTGAAATAGTTTAAATCCATTTATTTGATATTCAGCTAATAGTTCTCAAATTTCTACATTCATCCACGTTTCAGTAAGTGCAATAATATCTATTTTTTCTGTACAGACAAGAGCATTTAACTCGTTTATTTTGTTTCTTAGACTTCTACTGTTAGTGTAATATACCCTAAGTGAATTGTTATTTTGAGGCCCTTCTCTTTCCCTGATCATTTTGCCAATTTGTTTCTCCAACAAACACATACTTTTATTACATCCTTCCTCCCTATCAATTCCCATACCACTATTTACTAACAGTTTAAACCCAAATAAATACCTCTAACCACTGGTTCCGAGTTCGCAACAGCAACAACCCCAGCCCTCGATAGATGCACCCCATCATGAGCATACATTTCACTTCTTCCATAGAAGTGTTCCCAGTTGTCTATGAAAGATATTGCATTTGATTTGCAATATCTTTCCAGCCGGCAATTGACACCAAGTGCCCTCGACAACCATTCATTCCCAACGCTCTTTCTTGGAAGAATGCCACATATGATCGGGATTCCTCCCTTGTTCCTAACTAATTCTATGGCTTTGTTAAATTTCTTTATCAGTTCCTCATTCCTAACTCGTCCAACATCATTACCGCCTGCACTAATACAAATAATGGGTTTGTTCCCATTTCCTGTCATAATATCTTTCATGTTGTCAACAATATCTCCAATTCCAGCCCCCGGATAGCAGACCCTTAACCTGTTCCCCCTATCTCTGGCACAAAACGTCCTGTCTAAATACCTCACCTGGGAATCTCCCACAACCAAATTTCGTTTAGGTACCTCCTTAACTTTCTGAGCACTTTGAGGGGCCTCTGCTTCGTTGCTTTTCGTTGTTTTCCGTTTCGAGTGAACTGCAGGCTCACCACAGCATTCGTCTTCCAACACAGCAAATGAATTTGATGTCCTTAGGGCATCTGTAGGCGGCCTTGTCAAGGTCTTCTTAAGACCCCTGTCCTTAATGACCTTCCACGACGAGGTCTTGTTAATATTGGTCTCCTCCTTCGTTTCTTCCCGATGTTCCAGCTGTTGTACCTCCTCTCGTAAGGAATCCATCTCTGCTCTCAGAGTTCCAACTAGATTCATCAATTCCTTCACTAATCCTTCCATTATTGCTATAATAATGTCACTACAATCGGAGCTCCAGCTAACACAACCTCTCACTGTGACTGCACCTGACAGACTGGATCTTTGTATCTTTGGGGGCACTCACTTCTACCATTCATAAGTTCTTGCAAGTGCCGGAGCAACCAGGCTGGAGTGGATATGTGGGCCTGTGGGCCACTCCAAGCAACAGCCCGTTGGATGAAGTTATCACAAGTCGAGCCTGGCTTCAGGCCAGGCTCGAGGAGTAGAACAACTCCCAGAACCCTCTCCAGGTATGCTTCAGGTATGGGTCCCCCTTGCCTTATAGAATGAACCAGATTCTGGTCCTGGCTTCCAGTAGATCAGAGAAAGTCTCAGGGGCCTGGTGCAATTTCTTAAGACATGGTTATACCAGTGCTTATGCTCAGGGAGCTAATGAGGGGAGCCCCTTCCAGAAAATAAAACAATAAATCTTAGAAAAAGCCAAGTCAACAAATCCCCAACCTATTGGTTTCAGTGTCGTGAAACTTTCATCAAAATATTTTCAGAAATAGATTTTAGACAAATTTTTAAAAAATAAGAACGTTTTGTTGATAAGGAAAACAGCTCCTAATAACTGGAACTGAAGGATAATGCAGTAATAAAGAGATGCAACCACCTGTCTGATGCTCAAAGAAGAAGAATAGTAGTAAGAAATGTCCACAAAGTGGATATGCAGCTGGTGCCTTTACATCATTGCTGAGTAATACATGGTGTTGTTCTTCAGTTATATCTTGCTCTGGTTAGGCCCCATTTAGATTATGCAGTTCAGTTTTGGTCGCCGTACTATAGAATGGATATATATTCACTTAAACGTGTCCAGCGTAGGATGACAAAGTTAATTCCCCAAATTAGAAATCTTTCATATGAAGAAAGATTAACAAAGCATAAATTGCATTCACTTGAAAGGCAAAGAGTTAGGGGTGACATGATAGAGGTTTACAAGTGGATGAATGGACATAACAAAGGGGATATTATTAGAAGTATCAACACAAGACAGAACACGAAACAATGGGTATAAGTTGAGTAAATTTAGATTTAGGAAAGACTTGGGTAAATACTGGTTCGGTAACAGGGTTGTTGATTTGTGGAAGCAATTATGTACAGCGTAACATGGTGGAGGTGGGGTCCCTTGATTGTTTCAAGCGTGGGTTGGAAATGTATATGAGTGGGATTGGGTGGTTATAAATAGGAGCTGCCTCGTATGGGCCAATAGGCCTTCTTGAGGTTATCTTGAGATGATTTCGGGGCTTTAGTGTCCCCGCGGCCCGGTCCTCGACCAGGCCTCCACCCCCAGGTAGCAGCCCGTGACAGCTGACTAACACCCAGGTACCTATTTTACTGCTAGGTAACAGGGACATAGGGTGAAAGAAACTCTGCCCATTGTTTCTCGGGCGTCCGGGATCGAACCCGGGACCACAGGATCACAAGTCCAGTGTGCCGTCCGCTCGGCCGACTGGCTCCAATTACCGGCTTCTGCAATTACCTTTGTTCTTATGTTCTTATAATAACACATATAATAATGAGTAACTATGTTAATATGCTCTATTTTGTTATATATCATATAAATACATTGTCGAATGTTAATATATGTTACTTTCATCAATGTCCCAAAAATATATTTTTGGGGGGGAATTTTTTTTTTTAAGATTTTAGTTTTTTCTGTTTTGTTTATTATCTGATATTGTTGTAACCTTTACATCCTGGAGAGTGCATATGTTTTCCTAACAATGTGAAGATAGAATGAAATTGGTCAACAAATAAATCAGTCACAACTCGCAAAACTTGTACAGTACTTTTAGTTTTTTTGACTGATATTTTCTCTGATTTCAAACTCTATTTTCTTTGTCTCTTTAGATTGTTTTGATGATTAGGGACCATATTAGGGCTTTTTCACTTAGATAAAGGATACCCTAAATATATCCCCTAAATCATTATAATTATCCCTATATTTTGTGTTTTTGGGGGGTTATTTTTTCTTGACTTCATTTCAACACATATTGACCTACAACTTTCACATATTCGTGTATGAATGCCAAACAATGTTTATTCAAACATACAATTAGATTAACAAATTAAAACTACCTTTATTCATTGTTAATAACTTCAACTTCAATTATCTCTGAGACTAGAGTTTCAATTTTGAGTGGCTTCTAAATTTCCAGTTTTTGACCGATTCTCACTATTTTGACATTGTGTGCTCAGCTGTCTGTTCTACAATCCCATCAGAATGGATTTTTCATAAACTTTATACATTTGGAGTTATAATTTTTTCGGGTCTAAATTTGCCGCATATTTCAAATGCCTTATTGACGATTTGTTTTACAGTAAACTATACTGAAAACCTATATACTAATTTGATGAAAATGAAGATCATATGCTATTCTGAGAGAATAATAACATTAAATGAACAATTGGTGATCATTCATATTTTTTATTCTGGAATAAAAATCTGAAGTTTTCAATATTCAATTTTAAAATTAATTTTGATTCTCTTGTTTTTCAAGTTACACTGATCATTTAGACAACGTTGGAGCATTTGCCTAGTTGATTATGCAAAAAAAAAAAAAAAATGGAAAGTGTTTGTGCAAGTTTTAAAAACTTATGTTAAATTATTTTGTCAAATCGAATATGTATGTATTGCGCGGTTTAAGGGTTAAAGATTCTATTCACTCAATTACAACTTTCAACCATCTGAACAAATCCAACGGGAGCCTTGATGAGGGTTCGAACCTGTGCGCTGGGAGCTCTAAGGCGCCCTCTAGTTGACTGCACCATGACATGGTCAAAAGAATTGTAACCTGGAGTACTACTGCACCCACAAGGGTCCCGAGGATTCCACTGAAGCCTAACTGGGTTACACACAATTCCCCCATGCACTTGGGCTCCGTCAACCAGTAATTCTACCTCTGAAGCCCCTCCTTCAATACACTTAGTTAAATTTGTGTATTGAAGAATACACAAATTTAACTACGTCAATGAAGGATACATCAGGGGGTGCAATTACTGGTTGACAGAGTCGAGAGCATGGGGGAATTGTGTGTAACCCGGCTAGGCTTCAATGGAATCCTCGGAACCCTTGTGGGTGCAGTGGTACTCCAGGTTACAATTCTTTTGACCATGGCGTGGTACAATCGGCTATAGCACGCCTGGGAACACCCAGCACATAGGTTCGAACCCTCATCATTGTTGGATTTGTTCTTTGATATATCATGTTAATGTGATTTCTCAGTGTGTTTTCAACCATCTATTGTTAGAGCATATATATTTGAAACATTTTATAGTAAACATCAGTTGAACATGTACAGTAATCAAATTGGTATGAATATTATTGAGCCTGTGATATTTACCTTCTCTTCCAAAACTACGCTGCACCTTGTAGCAGATGAAACGAGATGACGTCCTCTGCTGAAACAGTCTTACAGTTTCATTTGCCTTTTCCAAAGTATGAACATAGCCACAATTGGGTTTGACCATATAATCAAAATAACCAGTTCCCATTACTGCTTCTGCAATCATTTCTCCACTAACCATGTCATTCTCAACAGAAACTTGTGTTGCCTCCAATGTATCTTCACTACCTATTTTAACTTTTTCATTAACACTATCTGCAGCATTATATTCAGCTTTCTTATTTGCTTCTCTCATACACAAATGATATTTTCTAAATGTTCTTTGGGCAGGTGGTGGAAATGTTACATTTTTCTTATTAATTTCATGGTTATGAGTTTTAACATACTTAACTGAAACAGAGCCATCATGACACTCCTTCACCAACATCCTTGCAGGGCAAATGATTCCAGTTTTCACTCGTCCGGTCCTCCACCTTCTTAAGGAAACTCTTCCTGTATCACTGGGTGCATCTGAATACCTATCTGGGCCATTGTACTGGCAAACAAAACATAGGTATGCTTTCCCATCATTGGATGTTACACTATGTCTTGTGCTGAAGTACGAAAATGATTTTACTTCTTCATCTTCCTTCCAAAGTTTGAATTCGGTAAGAGAAGTGAAATGCTTTTCTATTACATTAACTTCCATGTCTGTGTGATCACTCTCCATGTGCTTCATCATAGAAGAAATATGAAAAAATCTTTTTTCACATGATGGATGAATACACTTAGTTTTTTTCAGCTTCCCTTGAACTCCACATGATTCCATGTGTCTCTCTAAACTTCGCAAATGACCATATACTGTATCACAGTTTTGACACTTGAAACCATGTTCGTTGTCAGGTTTGGGTCCTTCTATATCTGGATGATCCTTCCTGACATGCTGTAACATCCTAGATTTATGGAAAAATTCTTTTGTACATGCAGAATGAAGACACTGTGTTTTCCTTAATTTTCCTCTTTTGCCACATGTATGTGTATGAGACTTTAGACTTCGCTCATGAGAATATTCTCGGTCACATTTAGGACACTTGAAGCTTGTATCTTTCACAGGTTCTACATATTCCATCTCAGGATGATCTTCTTCAACATGCTGAATAAGTCTACACTTATGGAAAAATTCCCTTTTACAAAGTGGATGAATGCATGGCGTTTTCTTGACTTTGCTTCGGTTTCCACAAGATTTTTCATGTGTTAAGAAACTTGATAAATAGGGGAAAGTGCGAAGACAGTTTTGACAACTGTAATTTGGGGCAGCCTCTATTAGTGGCATCATATTTGGATGCTCCTCCTTCAGATGATGCATCATACTAGACTTTTGAGAAAATTGCTTCTTACAAGAAGGATGCATACACATTATTTTCCTCAAATTGTCAAGTTTACTGCAATGACTCTTTAGAAAGACTGATTTACCACAGTTTTTTTCATGTGAATGTAACACCGACAGATTGGTAAACACATGTTCACAATTACAACATATATATTCAGGATTAATAAAGTTAGAATTTGCTTTTAGTTCTGGCCCAGCTTCACCAGTGTGATCCTTTTCATAATGCTCAATCATTCGAAATTTATGGAAGAATTTCTTCGAACATGATGGATGGATGCACTGTGTTTTTCTTAGCTTGTTGACTTTACTACATATTCTACTGTGGGATTCTAAGGACCGCATATGTGAAAATTCACGATCACAATTCTCACACTTATACTTAAGCTGCCGTCTTGGCCGCACACATTTATTTTCAAAATTAGTTTGGCTATCCTTATCTGTATTATTTTGTTTTACATTTAATAAATCTGTTTGAAGCATACTATCCATTTCTTCAGAGTATGGCTGTATCTCTTTCTCTTGCTTGAGGTGGGTAACTTTGATACTAGACTGAGCTTTCAAATACTTGGTTTTACCATTAGGCTGAACAATCATAATCACAGAATCTGGTGCAGAATCAATTACTTCATGAGGAAGTTCAGTATCATCAATCTCATGCTTCAACTGCAAAGGTAGACTCATTAACTCTGGATCCGGATGAATACAAATTGACTCACATTCAGGCTCAGTTCCTTTTCTTTCAGTGCAATAATTTTCATGATCTTCATTACCTTTTGTACTACTCCTCGAGTAATTCCTTGTATTAACTGAATTTTCCTGGTGGTATTCAGTGGATTCAGATTTTGTTATATCTTGGGTACAAATCATCTCGCCTCTATCTATTTCTTTGCACTCATGAATATTACAGATACTTTGATTTTTCTCTCTACATATGTAACTATTTTCCTTTGACAATTCTTTGTCGAGCTTCAAATTCACTATAATTTCATTTTTGGGAAAATTCTCATTACATGTAACCTGACTGTCCATAAAACACTCTTCCATTTCACAATCTGTCATCTGAAAAAAATACAAATACAGTATTAATTATATAGCAAATTAAAATAAATATTATCTTTGTTGCTACTTGTGTTTTGACTGCATTATGTATGACTGTAATTAAGCTCATAGAAACACCAATAATGAATTACTGGAGATACAGAATGTATTTATCACTTTAGGCCAACCAAGAAAGGTATACCCAATCTTGAGTACTGTTCAGTACAGTACTCAGTTCTCTTTCAAACCAGGAGTGATTTCTGAAACAGAGGGAATACAAAGAACATATACAGTGCACACATAAACACAATAAAACACCTAAATTATTGGGGCAATCTCAAAGCTCTCAAAATGTACTTTCTAAAAAGGAGACAAGAGAGGTAGTCTATCGCATAATATATATACATTGAAGATACTGGAAGGCCAGGTCCAAATGTGTACAGTAAAATAACAACACACAATATTGTAGGATATTCAGAATAGACACAGAAAAGAGTAAAGGTGCCCTAGGTACAATCTGAGAACAATGTATGAACATCACAGGTTCACTGCTATTCAATATCCTCCCAGCAAACAAAAAATATTGTTGGAAGGAAAGTGGACGTTTTCAAGAAAAAATTTGAGACATGTTCCCTGCAAGACGTGCCAGTTTGTAGTGGATATGTGGGCCTGAGAGGCCACTCCAAGCAACACTGTTGAACCAAGTTATCACAAGTTAAGCCTGGCCCCAGGCAGGCACGGGTAGTAGAACAACTCTCATAACCCACTCCTGTTATTGAACATATCCAGTATAACTTTCATGATACAATCAATATCATGAAATATTCTTGGAAATACAATTCACATAAACCCTTTCTTTTTCCTAACCCCACTTCCCCAATCTCTCCCTCTCAAGTTTAGTTTAGCATTACAAGTTCACCCAACAGCAGAAGTGTTAGGATTTCACCGCAGATTTGAAGACAAATGTGTAGGGTATGTTGTAATTAATATGCTTTGTTAGGGATAAGAAACCTGTGAACAGTGTACATATACTTCAGACTTCCATTAAGGTTTCTCCAAGGTCAAATTACTGACTTTCCCCAGGCTGAAACCCCACAAAAGTGTTTTAACTCCCAAGTACACAGGTTTCCTGTCTTTGACAAAGCAAATTAATTATAACGTACCTTACACATGATCCCTTCCTAAGTTTTATATAGTCATAATGGCTTGGCACTTTCTCCTGATAGTTTTTCTCCCCCTCTTTTTTACCCCAAGTACTCATTTAGTGTCATGCGAATAGAGGCATCAGGTGAAAGGACATGCGCCAACTATTTCTGTCCCGTCCAGGGACTGACAGAATTCTACAAGTTTTGATCCTCAAGATGCGATCCTCAATTGTGAGTTTGGCACATGGCACAACACCCTTTAGCAGTGATAGAATCATAAACCTAATAAGATGTTTCATATTTTAATACATGCACAGTTGACATGGAACTGTCTTATTTACCATAAAACAACTGTTTTATGGTAAATTCCAAAACAACACACCCTGGACCGGGGTAGAGTGGGGGGAGAACTACCAAAGCCCACCAAAAGTGACACGCAATGTGGGAAATCATTCATATTTGCAAACATACAAGGCTTGAAACCAAAATCAAGAAATAAAGTTCATAAATGGCCTCCTAATAGAATCGAACTCAATATTTGGTGCATTTACAGAAACCCACACAGAAGACCACATGGATAGTGAAATCTGGATTCCGAATTGTAATCTATATAGATGTGACAGAGTAATTAGGTCAAGTGGAGGAGTATATTATAATATTCTGTATATTAAAGAGGAGCTGGCATGCACAAAACTCCTGAACTCTTCCAATGAGGTGGAAGGTAGGTAACCAACCACAGGTCACAGAACTACTGAGATTCTGTGACAAATTCTCGCTCAGTCAGCACATTACAGAACCAACTAGGAACGAAAACACGCTGGACCTGATATTCACGAACAATGAGGAGCTAATCAGACACATTACTGTCTCAGACACTACGAACTCGGACCACAAGCTAATTGAAGTGCAAACTAACATTAATAACGGTAGTAGGCCCAAGAGAAACAACAAGCGAGAAGGGCTATTCAATAAATTCAATTATAATAATAAGAGAATAGACTGGGAGAAAATAAACAGGGAACTTACAAACATCCAATGGGAAAATGTTCTAAGAAATAAAAATCCTACACAAGGAATAGAAAAACTGTCTTCTGAAGCATATGAAATCTGTCTGAAACATGTTCCTTTGAGGAAAGCCAGAAAGAGATCCAATGTAGAAAGAGAACGCAGACGACATTACAAAAGGAGGAAGAAATTAACGGAAATGCTTAAGAAGACACGACTCTCCATACAGAGAAGAAATAATTTAAACAGGGAGATTGAAAAATCGAACAGAGACTGAAGCATTCCTATCAGACTGAAGAAAGGCAACTAGAACAGAAAGCAATTCAAGAAATAAAGAAAAACCCAAAATATTTCTTCACATATGCTAAATCAAAAGCGAAAACCACTGCCAGTATTGGACCTATTCGTATTAGTGAAGGTTCATACACTGAGGATGACAAAGAAATTAGTGAAATCCTAAAAAACCAGCGTTGAATGTAATGAAACGCCATTTTCTGGGTGAGTCCCGGAGGCTCCCCGGAGCTATCCATGGCTGATATGGATACCCTAACTATTTTGCATCAGTCGATGTGGGTGGAGTTCTAGGCCAACCGGGGACCACGAGCCAGAATCTGGCCCCCTCAGAGAGGCACGGGGAGCAATGGCCCATAGAAATGCACATGTGATTTGGAGCATTCTATATCTGCCATCGACCGGGACAGGCACCCAGAAAGGTAAGCGCCACAAAACAAACCCCTATTCTGGTTAAACAACAAAATCGACAAACGAGTGGACAGAACTCCCCCAGGAAAACGAACTAACAAGCATGACGTCACGCGAGCCGCGCCGCATGTCTGCGCAGCTCCCCCCTCCCCGGGAGGGGGAAGGGGGAGCCCCAGACCCCCGCGCCGGCGATCCCCGCCCCAGTTCTGAGGCTGGATATCAAAACCGTGAAAAAACCCACCGACCGGAGGATGGGAGGGTGCCGGGGAGCCTTTGGGACTCACCCAGAAAATGGCGTTTCATTACATTCAACGCTGGTTTTCTGGGGGAAGCCTCTACGGCTCCCCGGAGCTACCTCACCAAAGACTACCTAAAAAACAAGGGGACATACCCGGGAGGCGGTAGGAGAATCACTCAACACGAAGTCGAGACAACAACCCAAGGTATAGCATTCGCCAGAAAAAGGGGAGAACGGCCGCAGACGAAGAAAACCTATGATCACGACAATAGGAGCCAAAAACCACTGCGCCTGAGAAGAGCAAGAAGCTCTGCCACACGGCCCCCAGAGGCGAATGCCAACACAAAAAGAAAACCGAGGCAAAGCAAACCTGACCCCAAGGAGCCACAACCACCAAGGAGAAGAAAAACAGGAGAGCACCCTGTCCAAAGACCAGGACGACACAGGCAGTGCATAAGCAGGCCGGAGGTGTAACAACGCACGATACAACCTGCGAAACGGCGCAGAAGGAAAATCGATACCGAAAGCTAGCAGCAGAAACCAAGGTGCCAGACCCAGGAACGGCCCCAAGCGCCTCTACATCCTCCGCAAGCCAATCCTATGACAGCCCAAGGAGGGAAAAGAAAACGCAGGACCAAAACGAAAATGCCACAAATGTGCAAGACCACCTCCACAAGTGCAGCTGACAGGGAAGGAACTCGCATAAGGAGCCGCCCCGCACCAACAACCTGCAGAAGGGCAGGAGCGAAAAGACTCATTAGGAGGAGCAAAATCGCTCCCAGGAAAACTAGGAGCGCCGAGACAGTGTGAAGAGAAGAGATATTCACAAAAGAACAAAAAGGCCAACACCCAGAAGCTGCTGGGAAGAGGACCCACAAGCCCTAGAAAGGACCGGAGGGAAGCTCAACCACAGACGCACTAGAAAACGGGAAGGAGCAAAACAGTCCCGAACTTTCGAGAACAAAAAGAAGCAAACAAAAAGGACGAAGGCCCCAAAACCCTGTCGCACCCGAGACCAAAAGTCATGCAGAAACCCCAAGAAGAGGGGGACATGACGGAAGAAGGCCCGTCCCGGAAAAAGGGGCGAAGATCGTAGAAAAGCACCCACCGACAGGATGGAAACAACGGGTACAACGGACAAGGAAACCATGCCCAGGGAGGGGCCGACGCCCATAAAGCACGTGCGGAGAGGGGGAACGAAAAACCCCACACCACAAAACTGCAAGTCCCCCCAGAGGGTTAGAAACACCCCGGCGGGGACCAACGGGGCCTGAGGCCCCTCACGTGAGCCCCACCCCAGCCCCGGGAACCCACCCTGCAGGCCCCGGGGCCGAGCTGTCCCCTCAAAGCCCCAGCGTCAAGAAAAACCCCGGGGCAGCCGTGAAAAACACGAAGGAAGGGAGCCCACTAGGCTCTGGAACTTGAACCGAAACCGGAGGATAGGCGAGGGGCGAGATGAAGACCCCAAGCTCATCCCCAGCCAGCACAATGAGGCGAGGACAAGACAGTGAAATCAAGGAACATGGAAAAACCAGGCCCTGCACGGCAAGACCGGCAAGGAAGGAGAGCCCCAGAGGGAGCACGGAAGGGCCGAACATAACGCCACAACCAACCCCGACACGCAGCTGCAGTACCAAAACCGCAGCAAAACGTCACCACACTCCCCGAGGAAGCGACAGAGAAGATAGATAAATTGTACACGAGTGGCACACAAGGGAACATAGGCGGAAACCGAGCACCCGAGCCACAGGGACGGTAGAAGAAACGTGTGCAGTGTAACAGGCAATCAAAGGAACACATTAGGCAGCCCAACATGGGCTGACCCTATACACAGCCCCAAGAGCAGAGATTTGAGTGCCCAAGAAGCATAGAATCTGCCCGACAGGCAGAACCCAACCTGCAAACACAAGGAGGCGAACACAAAACCTCCG